GTTGTTTAAGCCGGCGCACTTTGACGGTGTCGTCGCCGAGTGTGAGCGGCTCCGGTGCCTCGCCAACGTCAACCTGGCGTCGCAGGTGGTTATCCTGGGGCGCCTCCCTTACTTAGACCACTGCATCGGCGAGCTTAACCGCGACGGGCGCCGCATCCTCAAAGTGGTCGACCTCCCCGTGCTGGTGCCGTTCCACAACGACATCTTGGAGCCGCTTCTGGAGCAGATCGAGTCGTTCTTGGTCGGGAGCGCCATCCAGGAGCAACACGTGCCCATGATCTCCAACGTAAACGCCGAGGTGCTGGCGGACGCCGCCACCACCGTGCGCAACGCCATCAGAGGCACCTCGCGCCCCGTGCGCTGGACGGATACCATTGCCACCCTCGAGGCGCGCGGCGTCGACACCGTCCTCAATTTGGGCCCGGGGACGGTGCTTCAGGGGCCCGGGGCCAAGCGCCGGTTCCGCCNCCAAGCGCCGGTTCCGCCAGGTGGCGCTCGACACACCGGAGTCCTTTGCCCAGCTCGAACAGCTTTAGATCGCTCTACTCTAGTGGGGGGGTCGCTCGCACCATCGCCGTCGCAACGCGCGCGCGGCGTCTAGCAAAACTGACGGGCGCTTCTTTCTGCGTTGGCGCTGGCGCAGATACGGCGCTAGTTGGCAGCTACCCCTCGCCCGACAAACGTAGCCGTAGACATCATCAATAGACGCTTGCCGTCGCCATCGCAATATACGCCCCCCGGTTGTGTGCCCTCAAAAGTCTACCCTTCACCCAAACAAAGATCTTGTGAGGGTTACTTAGCGCCGCTAACGGCACCGGCGCGGGCACACGCAGGCGGCTGTCACCGAGCAAATTATCTGTATCACTCATTCCAAATCGGGTGGCGACAATAGCCAGGTGCTGTTGTTTGCGGACGCCGTGCCGGGCATATACGCGCGCCGCCTGCGAAGGCAATCGAGGGTGGCTGAGGCCTCGATCGAGCACCAAGGGCACTATCGCTGCCCACAGTATTTTTTGAGGGCGTTTCCCAGGCTGGATCACGACACCATTTGGCGATAAAATAATCACATTTCCTAAAACCTTCCCGGTGGGCACAGAGGGACGGGTACGCTGGCACAGCGACGTGCGCTAGAAAAAGCCGTAACAATCGTGTGACAATGGCCGGGGGAGATGCTGGCGGCTGCTTCGGATAATGTATTGCCTAGATGGGGGGTAATGTGATCGACTATTGTGTCGATCTAGAGCGGAGGGCTTTGTAGAGATTTCGGGCAGATCCCCAACGTGGCTGTTGGGGCCCAAATATTCGCTTGGGGGCTGACCCATGGGGGGATCGAGGGCAAGTGGAGGCAATCAGGTGGCAGCGACTTTTACACGACGCGCACCCACGTGGGGGAGAGCGGTATTTGCTGGAGACCAACGAATAATAAAAATAAACTGTGGCAGGCCCCAGGCCCAGCGAAATTTTTCGAGAAAAATATTATCGGCCGAAAGGGAAGTCGAGGGGACATGGCCAGGCCATATAGGGAAGCGGTACCGATGTCGTCGTCACCGCATTCATCTGGGGCTGGGCGTGTTTTACCCCGTTGTCTTGTTGCTCTAGTAGTTTGCCCCCGACACCTAGCGCCGCGTCTGGACCCGATGAATGACGGTCCCCGCATCTCGCCCTATAGGGGGATCACTTGCTATGGTCCAGGGTTTTTTTTCGCGCCCAGCGGCGTTTGTGGCTAATGGTTCCCCCAGATGTGTTCCTTGCGGCTTAGCCGGGCAGCCTCAACTTTGCCTAGAAAGGGCATGGCGGTAGTGGGTGGGGGAAGTGGGCGTCGGCGGCCGCTGGCGGGGCTTTGCTCGTCAGTGTCTGGGGATGGGTGATGAGTGCGGATGTCTGCGGGTGTCTGCAGTAACCTGCAACATGGGAGGGTCGAGAACGAGTAAGGCGGGGCCATGCATGGTGACCATGCAGGTTATTCGGCAGAGATAGAACGCCCGCGACACTGGCGCCGTCATCGACCCGCGAGGGGAGTGCGTGGTTTTTTTGTTAAGCAGTGCCCCCTATTATTCGGGGGGTTGCGTACCGGTTACTTCAGCGGTGATTGTTTCCCTAGCGGAGTTTTGGGCGCGGATTCGGGGGGGGCTACTGTGGGCGTCCACTGCTGGTTCCCCCGCATCCTGGGGGCGACAGGCGGGACCAATGTGTGGTGGAACACTTTTTTTGCTTGGCAACGGTCAACGTAGTGTATTGTTGAGGGAAAAAATTTTATCAGGCTGTCGACCTGCATGAGACTCGAGGCATATGTCAACTATACGACTATAGTCTAGCCACGATAACGTAGGTGGTGCATGTCATATATTTCTCGCGAGCTAAAACAAACTGGACAAAATCAATAAAACTCCTAAAACGTCGTGAGCGGTAAAACACAAATGAAGAAATGAATACAAAAAAAGTAGTCGACTTTTGTGGTCGCGGGGCTCCGGCGGTCAGCGCTCAGCAATGATCCGCTTGATCATGGTGTGGTCATCGACGGCACCATTCTGCGACCGCTTCGCCTCGTCCATCAACGGCAAAATGCACATCCACCCGGTCTCGGTGCGGAAATGGCGCGCCAAAGCGTCCAGGCGGGCAAACTTCTTGCCACACCCCCACTTGGTGACGCCGTCGTTCAAGTAGCCCTGGCAGGTGAAGTTCTTCACCCCGTCGTGCAACTGCTCGTGGCGCCGCTTGTCGTGGCCGCGGGCAAACGTCTTGGGACACTTCAGACACTTGAACGGCTTGTCGGGGGAGTGGGTCTTCATGTGCAGCTTCAAATTGTAGGGTTTCTGGAACGCCTTGTTGCACACGGGGCAGGGAAACTGGTTCTCGCCGGCACCGACTTCCGGCGCCGCTTCCGCCACGCGCGCGTCGTTGCGCCGCCGCTTCCGCTTGAGCAGCGGCAGCAACGTGAACAGGACGAGGCTCAGGTAGTCGATGTGCTGGGGGCGCTGGTGCTGCTGGTGCTGGGGCGGCGGCTCCATCGGCGACCACGACGACGTCGTCCCCGAGTACCCTTGAGGGCCATGAGGCGCGAGCGGTATCGACACCAGCGCCGCGATGGCGCCGGCGGACGCCGCCGGGTGGCCGCCGCTGCCGGCGGAAGCGAGGCCGGATGCGATGCCGGAAGGAATGCCGTGACCGCCGTCGACGGCGGCCAGCTTCGCCACCGTGGCAAACTGCAACTCCTGGGTGCCGAACCCGTACACTCCCATCAGCATGTAGGGCGCCAGGCCCGCGTAATACATGGGCCGCTGTTGGTAGTCGTAGTAGTTGGAGTGGATCGGCGTCAGCGCCGGTAACGACGGGTGCGGCGCCGACGCCGGGAGCGACAGAGACACCGCCAGGGTGTCTGTCGCCTGCAGGGTGAGCGCCAGCATCGGCCACTCGGCGCCGGGCCCATACGAGGAAGTCGTGGGCAAGTTAGTCGCCATCATGATCGATCGTGATCACTAACGGACGAGATGAAGCTGGTTTTCACGAGAGAAAAACACCAGCGCGGTAACGGTAGGGACAGGGTGACCACGATAATCTTCAGCCGATAGATGGGATGATCTCGAGCACCGTGTAGAGAGCCCTGGCTGTGCCTACCCCTCCCCCGGTTCTGGCTCCCCCGGTCTATATATACTACCGTCAAAATCGTTGGGGGTTGCGCCCCGCGCGCGTGCAGTTTGCCATGATGGGACGGTGACGGCACCAGAAAAAATAATTCTTTGGTATTTTTTCCGCCGAGATCCAAAGATGTGGGCGGATATTTTCCAGGGGCGCTGCGACCCCGTCCTGTCCCAGCGGATGATGGGGTCGGCGTGGGGGATCCGACATCCTCCACGCGCGGGGGCGCTCCGGCGCCACCCCCCTCGTCACTAAAGGGCGACATCCTTCGTCCGCGTAAACGAGCAGGGCTGAGGAGGCAACCGTGCTCCCTAGAAGCAATTATGAGCGGGGGGAAGGAGGGTATGCCGACTATGCCGGGGCTAGACATGGTTCGCTTCCCTCCCCAGCCGTCGTGACGACGGGGGGAGGCGGTGTCTGACTAAGCGCCCTCGTCCCTGGGTCGCGCCAATCACAGCTTACCAGCGCCCGCCCGATAAGGTTGGCGCCTGCCAGAAGCAAACGTCAGCGATGATGGCGGCGCCGTAACCAATAAACCCCGCGGGGTGATAAAGCCGTTGGCAGCAGCAAGGGCGGAGGTCTCGTTTAGAGTGTGGTGGCTCCGCCACGAGGCTTAGACAAACCTCATCCTTCCCTTCCTCTAGCCCGCTGACGGGAAAATCAGCCTGCGGCAAATTAGAAGGAGTACTACACGATGCGGCTAGCCCCAGCCAGAAATGGTCTCCCCTCATGCACTGGTAGGGTTTGTGATCACGCCGGCGACTTGCGTTCTAGAACTTGGTTTTACGAGAGATACGAGCCCCGGGGGAAATAGCCTAACCAAAGACTTAATCAAACTCTCATCGGTGACATTGTTCGGTTCATTAGACCCCTTCTAGCCCGCTCAGGCTCGTCCTCATGCTTGGTAGTGCGATGACGATGAGGCCATATTTTGTACACCACACGACCCGCAGACAACGTAAACAAAGCGGAATGCTCTAGGTGCTGTATAACCGATTATATCCGGAACCTGATGATGCTTGTAGTTATGATGTGGGCCTACTTTGATGGAGAGTCATCGGCTTTTCAGTCTGGGTATGATTATATTAAATTATCTAGCGTTTGACTTCAGCCACAGCCTCCACTTCTTCAATGACGCCGTCGTCGTCGCCGTCGCGCTTCACCCCCGTCACGGCGTACACTTCCTCGACGTCGTCAACGTCACGCTTGTCCACCACGTCTTCCACCGACGCCACCACGTCGGCAACGCCGCCGACCCGCTGGTAGGCCTCGATGTCGTCGCCCCGAGGCACGACAGGAGTCAACGCCAGCGTCACCGCCGCAACCGTAAGCAAAAGGCCCGTCTTCATATCGTGCTAGCAGGTGTGGAAAAGCCGCCAATCCCGGATCAGCTAAATTCTTATATCCTGAAGAATGTTAGGCTAAGGCTGATGGGCGCGTCGACGATGATTTAGCAGTTGCCATAATCGGACCCTCATCAACCTAATTGGGGTGGGTAGCGCGACGCGCTTTGACATATGGGTCACTCCTCGCATAGGAAATACCCGGCTCGCAAACGAGACCACTAACCTCCCCTCGTGGCGATGCTGACCTCAGTTTATTGCAATCGCTATTCGCCCTGGCGTCGACAGTTTCATCAGCAAGTCTGCTTTGACAGTGGGGGGGCGGGGTTTATGAACAATGCCCGACATCGTAGCGGTTTTGTGGCACTGAGATAATAGGCATCTGCGGCGTGTTTGTAGCCGAGAGGGGTGTGCCTTACCAGAGCTCACTTCAAGGGTGGAAAAAACAATTTTTTCCCTCCCTTCATGTTTGTTGACCTCATTCTTGGGGAGTGCTGACGTAAGCGCAGCCTTCGCCGATCCCCCCTATTAATAACAACCCCGGCATAACACATAGTCAGTCAGCATGATTATAGGTTTAGTAGGGCATAATGGTTTCCCTGCCGATTGTGGCGCCACCGAAGCAATCACCATCTCCAGGCGGAAAATCGTGCTTGTGCGGGGGGCTTAATGGCGGCTATCTGACAGCAGCAAACGACCATAACGCTGCATTCGGAAAAAGCTTTCTTCTGACATATGTATGATGAGATACTGAATGATCCGTACGATGATGCATTTTTGCACCTGGAATACACCACCACAAACGAGACATCGTCACTCGTACTCTTCTCCACTTGCCACCAGAGCGTTTCGTCGGGTCTTAAGATCCTTTGGTTCGTGACTGCCGGGGGTAGTGTATAGCGTGTAAAATCTCGTCGTTATCGCACCTGAGGGAAATTGTCACTCGTAGCTCGATACGGTGGCAGCAGCATGCACCAGCGACCATCGGACAAAAATAATCAGAAAGCCGTAACTAAAGCTTATTTGTTTTGGGATCAATTAGCCATGACATTTGCTTGCCGATCTGGAACCCCAGTCAAATGACAGAAAAATCGGTTTTGAGGGCGTCGCCTGCTGGAAGCATTTGTGATAGAAGCACCGGAATACCTTGCCAAACTGACACTGGTTTCTTATTTGGTGGTACCTTGCTACCGAATAGCCAATTAGAGATAGGGACTGTAAGAGCTAATCAATTTATTCTGCAGTTGACGTATGGATTGATACACCTTGGAATTCAATTAGCGTTGCGGAACACCCTGATAGTAAATTTCGACAGATTGCCCACCAGAAGTTCTTCCCCCCATTCGTTCACATGGGCGCCGAGGTAATATCAAAAAAACAATCCTATCCACAACCATGCAACTTAGCATCCTCAAAATTCATTTAACATCATTCAAGCTGCGTCACCAATTCATTTAGCCAACCCCAAACAATCCTCCACTGGGATTGCCAACTGCGCCAACAGCCCCTGTTTTCCACTTTCAACCCAGCACTTTATGATACCTTAGAATCGAATATTCCCATACTTCTTTGTCTCATTATTTCATCGCGCCTTGACGCAAGCTAATGAATGATCCATGCACCCTTATATCTGCTATGCCATGACTCCGGGACCCGTAGACTTGTTTCACTCCCCCGAACCCATAGGCCAGTTGTATCCTGCCCTCAGAACCCACCGTACCCCTAATACCGATAGCCAAATTGTACCGTACCTTCGTGCCTTCAAGATATGCCAAACCGCCGAAACCCATAGATCTGTTATGCCCAACCCCCGAAAGCCATGAACTTTTCGTATCATACCCTCAGAACCCGCCGACATGTTGTGCGGTGCCCACAGAGCCCGTTGTACTGTGCTTTCAAACCCTGTTGAACCTTTATACCGTGTCCTCAGATAATATAGACTTGTTATGGTGTGCTCTCTGAACCCAAAAACCCATTACGCCATACTCTTTGAACCCAGCGACCCATTTCACCTTGCCCTCTGAACCCATTACGCCGTGCCCTCTGAACGCCGTGCCCTCTGAACGCCGTGCCCTCGAAGCCCATAAACTCATTTCATATTGCCCCCTGTCACATTGCCCTCTGAACCCATGATGTCATGCCCTCAGAGCCCATGCCTCATTGCCCTCTGAACCGTGCCCTCTGAACCCTTAAACCGCCCTCAGAATCGATGACTACAATTGGACTTAGTGTGCACTTCCAATAGCGGGAAACAGTTTATCAATCCAAATGACCGGCAAACTGGTTAGATTGAATGTGCCCTGCCATGCCAATCAACGTCACAAGTCCCTGCCGTTTCCACCATACTATCGTTAGTACACCATTATAAACTCTCGCCATGTCTATCAGAAACTGTCTTTAAATTGACTAGCTTCGTAAAATGAGAAACTTACCATTTGATGATGCTATTTTACTGGCTTTGAGACGCCTTTTATAGTGAAGCGTTGCCCCCTATTATTATCAATGCGTTGTATTTAAGTCCGAGAGTTTTCTTGGGTGTTTCTAAGCTAGAAGCGATGACAAGGCATTTTTATGCACTGCAGATACTGGATTCACGGTTTTGGTGTCTCATTCGCTCTCAGGGCGGGGCTCTTGTTTCAGAGTGTACGGCTGAGATGCGTCATACATGTATGTCTTGAACATGTAGAAACGCTTACCTGCCACGAATATGAATGGTGCAAGTTCGTTGTTGTATTGAGAGAGTTAAAACTGCAAAGTTGATCATTCACAATGATTCCCTTGTCATGACTTATACTTTCTGAATTTCCCTGATCTGTAATGGCAGCAGTCCTGAAAAATGTATCTGAGAATGCACTGCGTGTGGTTATTTATAGGCAAAACAAGTTCTCAAACATGTTGATAAGATATACGAAAATTTCGTATCGGTGTGGCGTCTTCACGATAATAGATGAATTGAGTTCACCATCACCTCATCTCTCATCCAACACTATCGAAGCTACTGGAAGTTGTGTATTCACGCTGGGCAAAATATTTGTATCTACTAACGTATTCCTTTCTCAATCGATAAATGATAGTATGCCTAATCCAATTAAATATATACTACATCTTCTACAACTCGCAACAACTACTCGTCGTCGGACTCAGATTCAGGGGGCGGCACCCACGGAGCCGGCTTGAAGAACTCCTGGTCCTCTTCAACCATTTTCTTGAACTTTTCCTTGTCGTCAACGTATTGGTACAAGTACTCCAACTCCAAGTCGTGCGTCTGTCTCCCCATCACGATCAACGAGTGCAAGGGTTCCCCGGCGTCGTACTCACTCAATTCCTTCAACGTGGCCGCCTTGAACTTTTGCGTGGGCAGGCCAAGACGCGACACCGCCACACAGGGGGTGTTGGGGGTGTATGCCTGTTCGCCGCGCTTCTCTTCCACTTCCAACATCTGCGAGGCGGCAGTGGCAATGTCCATGTACCGCGGGGGCTCGTAGATCTTGAGCCCCTTGGCCATGTTTTCCCAGCTTTGCTCCTTGACCTTGATGTCCAAGAGCACCAACGTGTGCAACCCCAACTGGCGGTTTTGCTTCACCTTGTCGTAAAACGAGTCCGGGCGCCAGTTGTCCAAGAAAAACACGAGCGACACCGTCTGGCCAAAGTTGTAGAGCTGAAGCCCGCAGGCGCCGACGGCATTCATCACCAGGGCGTTGTGGATCAGCTCCACCGCAATCCCTTCTTCCCGGGCCCGGATGACGAGATCGGTGTGGGTGGTGGCGCCAAACACGTCACCCACGACGAGGAAGGCGACGTCCTCCTTATCGGCGTCGCGAAGGATTTCGTCGGCCCCCGACTCGACAAGTTCTCGGTCGGCGAGAATCACCTCCTTGCCATAGTACTTCTCCAACTCCTCCTTCAGCGCCGCCATAAGGATCAGCGTGTACGCCTCAAGGTATACTCTCAGACACTTCTTCACCGTCTCAAGCCCACGCACAGTGATGTCGCTGGGGTGGGAGAGCCCCAACCCGATGAGATAAAGCATGGTGCGATGTGCGTGCGATGGGCTTGATTTACCTATGGCTATGGTAAACTCATAGGAGATAAAACAATCACACCGGCCCTTAGGTGTTTACAACGTCATGATATTGTAAACTAAGACTACTTCTTCAACTAAAGTGAGCGATGTCAGATGGTGTTGATATTCGCCACCTATCTCGTGTGATTTACTCCCTAGAAGAGTTTCGCTGGTTCGCAATGCCCCGGAAGAGAGGTGCCAGACTTAAAGAAGACTATGAAGCGGACGTCAAACGGTATCTAGAACTCGTCAAGAACGAAGAACTCGAGCATGATATCCCTCCGAAACGGAAACAACCCCGCCCGGCCAAGCAAGCCGCCCCTAAGCGTCCCAAGTACCGCAAGTCCACCACTCCTGTTACTAAGCAAGAACTCGATAATAATACCCCAGTGGACTCTCAACGTGACGCCACGGAGTCACCGGCTCAGCCAAGTCTCATCCATAACCAAAAACTCACCTGTCCCGGCACTGTGGCCACTCACGACGCCGCCACCTTCGAGAAATACGTGTCTCAGACGGCAACTTACGAGACGATGATCGCTAAGATAGTGGAGCATGTCGATGATATCGACGTAGCTCTTCATCATTGCCTTGTGGAGAAAAACCTCGACAGGGAACGCCAGCAATGGACGATCCCCACCTCGCTCTACGACGCCTGCGCTCTTGAGGTGCCCCAACAAATCTCGCTTGGCGCCGAGTTGGATGAGATTGACTCGTTCTGGGACTCCATCAAGTAGCCCATCTTGATACCATCAGCATTACTATAGCATTCTAGCATTTAAAATTGAAGACATAAATACCCTACAGCAGACAACCAATGTCCAAAAATTTGTCGAATAATTCACCATTCTAATAAACCGCTAAGCATCCCCCAGACAGTAAGTAGTTGCCTCAGATAAAAAGGAAGAGCCTATCTCGGCTTAACTCATTGGAAGAATTTCAAGCAAAATCTAATAGTACTAACAGATGGAATCAATTGTAATTGTCGTATTATTGCATTAAAGATCATTACTCATTACATTTGCGTAAGCGCGAGGATTATCGACTCGAGCTTCGACCCGGACACCGTCAAGTATGACTGCAAAAGATCGAGTACTTTGTCGCGGTACTCAACCATAAGCGACGCCGTGAAATCCATGGCCCCGCAACTGGCAAGATAGTCGCAAGCAGCCCCGACGAGGTGCATGTGCTTCCGCCGGTCACTGGCCAGGGTATACTGGAAGAGGATGTCGTGGACGGGGCTGGCGTCGGCGTGTTGTAAACACCAGAGAATTGGAAGCAGGAGCTTCCCTTCCAATAAGTCCTCGCCCGCCATCCCCTTGCTGTCGGCGTACTGTTGCAGATTGACATTCATATAATCGTCGCGGATCTGGTAGATGACGCCAAGAAGATTGGCGATCGCCATCAAGTCGTCGTTGAATTGCAGTGACACCAACGCCATGAGCTGGAGCGAGAGGCGGAAAAGCCCCCCGGTCTTGTGCTTGACCATTTCGAGGTAGTCGTCGATCAGCGGCAACTGCTGGCGAAGCTGGTGAAGGTTATCTCTCCAGTAGATGTCGAGACCTTGTCCTCGGTGCAAGTTAAGCATTTCCCCAATGATGATGTCATTGATGCGAAGCTTAAGTGCTTGGGGGTCACCAGCACCACCAGCGTCTTTAACAAGCTGGAGAAGCTGATCCTGAGCCCGCTGGAGGGCGACAAAGTACATGAGGTTGCCGCAGTTGAGGGTCAACGGCATCCCGTACTGACGGTGGGCGGCAAGCTTGCCCCGCCGGTACACCAGGTCGTCCTCGATGTCGTCGATCAACAACAGCGAGTCGTGGAACATCTGGATGATGGTGCCGATCTCGGCAAGCACCTGGCTGCTGTCGATAGCGTAGATCACGTTGAACGCCTGGAGGAAGCGGGTGCGGACGTTCTGGTTGTTCAGCGCCAGCAGGCTCACGTGGCGGTAGGGGGCGACAAGCGGGTCCAGCAACTGCGGCTGGTACCGGGTGGTGGTGTTGATGATGGCATCGATGTCTGGTCGGGGGCCTCGGTCGTCAGGCTCGGGAGTGTGGCGAGGGGTGTCCATGGGAGGGGAGCGCGAGTGGCGGTGAATGACCACGTATTTGGGGACTAGTCCGGTGGAGAGAAAAAAATATTGGCGGCAGTGAATGCCACTATATAAAGGCGGTTGGTGGGTGCTGGTGAGGGGAGAATGGCGACGGCGACTTGCTGCCAGCACGACGATTGTCCTCGCCTAAACTGGTAGAGGAGAGCGCACTCACGGAATTGTAAGGGCGACGACGAGACGTAACCGTACAAGTGAGGGGTAAAAGAACTCCGTCTACCTCAATTCAGGTAGCAATATCACCGCTAGCTACGAGAAGCCGCCATGGCCGGTGGGCATCCCCCCCGATTGTGTACGGATTTTCCTTTGCTTTGTCCCCGGTGGCTACTACTTGATGCGTGCCACCATGACGTACGCATTGGTGTACTATTTTTGGCGTAGTGACGAGGATGGCGTTGGAGAAGTTTGCCTTCGATAGACTTAGTTAATTACGAACAGATCAAACAATCATAAGCATTACATACATCATTTGGCGGGGCCGTCGTATGTCAACATACCGGGACGATACCACAAATTGGGTCCAGAGGACACAAGTCCCTCAGGAAAGTTTGCTGGCTTGAGAACCCCGGTAGGTCGACGCACCATCTCCAAGGAACGGTCATCACAACCGATGTAGTCGAGTTGTGTGACATTTTCGAAGTTCAACATGTCCACATTCCATCACCAACATTTGTCAGAGGTCTACAAAATCAATCAATCTCTATTGTAATATTATGGTATTCTTGTTGAAAGTCGTAAGTCGTAACGTGGCGGATTCCCCGCCGTCTTGTTGAAAGCATGAAAAAGAAGTCGTGACACCACCTGGTCTAAGCCTTAGGCAGGGTGCGAATAAAGTGCGAGGGACATTCGTAGCCGCCGGGGTTCTTGATAAGGTACTCTTGGTGGTAGTCTTCGGCGTCATACCAGATCTTAAGCGGCTCGATTTGGGTGACAATGTGGTGGTTGGGGTACCACGTCTTCTGCGCCTCGTCGCGGGCGGCGAGCGCCGCTTGCTTCTCTTCCTCGGTTTGGTAGTAAATGCCACTGCGGTACTGGGTGCCCTGGTCGGGGCCCTGGCGGTTGACGGTGGTGGGATCATGCATTCTGAAGAAAAGATTCAAGATCTCCAGCAAAGGCAATTGCGCCGGTTCGTATGAGATCTGCACCGCCTCCAGAAAGTTGGTCTCCCCCAGACACACCTTGCGGTAGTTGATATCAGTGAGGGACTCAATGCCGTTGGCATAACCCACCTTGATGTCGACGAGGCCTTGGTTGCGGAATTGCTTGTTGAAGATGTGTTCCACCCCCCAGAAACACCCGGCGGCAAGGGTGATGAGTTTCGAGGACGAGGTTGTCTTAATGGTAGGAGAAATGATCGCCATTGAGGAAAATTACTGGGGCGGTGGTGGTTGTGGCGGCGTTTATATATGCCTCTGTGTATGCCCCCTCACAGGTTTGCCCCATCCCACGTGACCGATGCGGTGATGACATATAGGAGGGGAAACGCCTAGCGAGCGAAGCGATGCTCGAGCCCTGAGGCTCAGCCGGACGTAGATAATCAAGGCGACTGACGCTTCCAGCCGCGGTATGGCTAAAATTGGCTACGATTACTAATACGGGGGCCTAGGTCATTTTCAGTCGTTCATACTCACCCCGTGTTGACTAAGCCATCGCATCGACGCCGGTCGAGATCCCGCACCTGCTTAAAAATCAAGATGACATACACCGATCGCAGTCACCAAAAATTTGCCACCGAGAGTCTTATACTCCTCCTTCTCACACCAGAATTGGGAGGTCTGTAAGCGAGATTCCTAAGTGTAGACCGACAGTTCATTATACGTTGATCTTGCTTTAAGCAATGTTTAAGTACTATCGAACAGTAGCAATTAACACTGCGACAATTCCGATGGCAATCACTTGAAAAGTCACTCTAAGTCAAAAGAGAGCTCATATACTTTTGGTGGGAAAGATTTTTAGCGCTATCATTCACAAATTTAAACACTGACGAAGTTCAGGATCCGTTCTCCCCCACATTTTCATCCTGATCAAGATTGTGCACGAATGCAGGACATACAGGAAATTATGAGGATGGTAACAAATGTTTTCAGGAATTTGCTAACGAGTGGCCCGCGATAGGAGCAATCAGTATTAAGCGGGGCTCTGCTGGTACGCGTATTTGTTGCCCCGTTGCTGCCACTACTGCCCCGAGCTTTGACTAATTGCGGATGGTGCTCCAGTGGCTTTGCATCGCAGCCGAGGCTAGTAGCTGACAATAAACAAAGCGCTGCTACTGAAGGTGACGTTATCACCACTACTTTGAGAGTTTAGCTAGCATAGTATAACTGCTTACATTTTGTTCCATTATTGAATGATGTCGATGAAGATTGACGAATGTTACTATTACATTAGGCGCGTTGCACGTCAATTGCAAACGCCAGCTCGGCACAATACCAGTACTTGTCGAACTTGCGCAAGTTGCCCTTTTGCGCATACACCTTGTTGGGGATGCCTTCGTCGATCAAGTAGTGGACGACGTCGTCGTCGAGTTCCTGGGCCCGGTATGCCAACAACAACCCCGTGATCGGCATCCCCATCAGCACGCACCACTTGCCGCGGATCACCATCTCCCCGGCGGTGCCCAGACCGCCGTCGATACCCAGAGGAAGGTCCAAACTCATGACTCGCGTCCGCTGCGCCGGCTCCAGACACCACTTCACCATTTCCCGTAACGTCTCGAGGTGGTGTTCCTCGTAGAACACGTCCTCAACGCGACAGTCGTAGCCCTGGAGCCCGTCAATGATAAGCTCGACGGGGGTCTCAAGTTGGTGGGTGACGATCTCAAGCAACTTTTGCCACTCGGCGACCACCACCTTGCCGCCAGCTCCTTCAAACCGACGCTGCTGCTGCTGGAGCTCGGCGTCATCGTCGTCGCCGTGGAACACAAACGCGAGCACTCTCACCCCGTGGTTGGCCAAGTGGCGCCCCGTGGCAAACGCTCTCATCCCGCTGCGACCGGTGCCCACGAGCAAAAGCACCAATGGGGGCAAATTGTGGTTATTGCGGTTGGAAAGGCGGGTGGCTCCACCCAAAATCTTGTTGATGATCACCAGCAGCAAGTTCACCGCCACCGTCTCCGCCATGAGCGCCTGGGTGACGCCAAAATTGCCCGCCAACCGCTCAATTTCGAGCAATTGTACGGGGCTGGCACAGGCAACATCGAGCCCTTGCGGACCAACAAACTTCACCAGCCCCCCTGCTCCCAGAGTCAGTCCCGCCCGCGTGGCGGCGGGGGGTATCGTGGTCGGGGTGGGGGTGCCGATTTGGTCCCAGGAGTCACCGTGGGAATTGTCCACCACCATTTCGCGGTTGTCGTACTTGGCGTCGTCACGCTTGCGGTTGTGGCCAACGAGGCGCTGGCTCGGATCCACCGTGTCCCGCTTCTGGAAGTCGGCGAACACCTGACGCTTGTCGAACATGGCCAAGTTGGCCTCAAAGTCGAACTCCAGCAGGAGATCTGGCGTCAGCAGCGTCACCAGTTTCGTCGGGGGTCCTCGCCGAGGGGTGGAGCTGCGCAGGTCGCCGACATGCTTCTTTTTGGGCGGGAGCAGCACCACCTTGATGTCGGCGATGTCGACGCTGTTGACCCGGAGTTGGCGGCCCTGCTCGGGGAGAATGGTGATCTGGGACCGGTCCACCGCGTGGATAAGCCCCGTCGACTTGCTCCCGTTCTTGAGGAACACCGCTACCTTGTAGTTGGTGAAGTCCATGGGCGCGGTGAGTTCGCGTGAAAATTCATGGCGATTAGTGAGGGTGGGGGAGGCAAGCCCTGAGGACGGTTGCCACCTGACGACTACCAGTGAATACACTGAATGGAATTGGTGACGATGGTTAGGTGATTCTGTTTTGGTGGCTATTGTTTACAATTCATTTCGTACCGGCGAAGTTGTGTTGCAGTGGACGTTTTACATCCTCTCTTATCAGTGCAATGTGCGATTGATTCAACGCATCATAAGAAAAGGTTTCTATGAGAGTATTAAGTCATATGGGTCATTAATCATTCAATCGTTATCATTCGCAAGCCAACGATGTTAATGAAAGAGTTTGGGCTGATATCATGGTCACTCATTATATGTCCACTTCATTGGCAATTGGCAGATCCGCGATCTTAATGATAGCAGCATCGATATGTCTGTCATGGTTTAAGTTGTTCCTCAAAAATGAAAGTAATAGTGCCGCCTACATCAGCCAGATAATGCTGAAGTGGTATTGATTGAACTCCAGGATTCGCGTCTAGATGTGGTCACTCAATATTAATGTTATGTTTCCAAAGAGCTTACACCAATATCCTCATATTGGCATCATGTTTTCGAAATTGGTTGAAAGTGGTATACTGCTCAATTCTCAGAATAGTATACCGAAGCCTCTGCTCGCGTTTCTCACCCCAATCTCTGCCACTTAACTCCACTCACTCTTACCTCTCCAAGAAATTGTCCCCAATGCACTGCTAGTTTTTATAGACCTACCCTTTAGTCCACTCTCGACCACAAGTCTACCTAGTTTACGCTTGTTCCTCTTATTTCAGGCGCCGATCTCGGAGTTGCCCTCCCTCGCCCCTCCGCACCCGCGTTTTCGGATCCTCCCGTAGATCGCTGTGCCTCCTCATCGTCATCCCTTCCACTTAACCCGCCATGGTTGATCCCGTTGAATACGGCATCAACACCCTCCGAGGAGCGTACCAGGCAGGATCGCAATTCCTTGACCGGTCCCAACAGCAGCTCACCGAAGCGCTAGGCCGGGTAGACTGGTCCCAGCCGGCCCCCGCCACCGTGCTTGTGCTGCTGAGGTCACCAGGTGCCCTGGTGTGGCAACGTATCATCGACTCAGTGTACCAGTATCCGTTCCGTTACGGTGTTGGCCTTGGTGCCATGTTGGTGGTAGGGCTAGGAGCGTACCGAGCTCGCACCGCCACCCCACCGAAAGCGCGTCGCCGGGTGCCCAAACTCGCAAATGGTGCCCGGCGTGACGTGGTGCTTGTGGTGGGATCGCCCACCGAACCGCTCACTCGCCTCATATGTCTTGACTTTGAAAAGCGAGGGTTTATTGTCTACCTCACGTTGCTCGAAGCCAATGACGTGCGCTACGTTGAATCTAACCCCATCACCGACGATATGAACTACTTGAACTTGTTCCTGGGCCAGGAACTGCTGCAAAACCTGACTAATCATCTCGAGTCTCAGATTGGCCAATTCGGTAAGTTATTGCAACAGCCAGTGACGCCGTTCCCCGGGGCGTCGAGCCATAAACTCCGGCTTGTGCTGGTAGTGTTCTCGCCGCTGCTCCACTTCCCGCTCGGCCCGGTGGAACTGACGGCGATGTCGACCTGGACGCGGCTAAACACCCGCTTTGTGCTTACTTGTCAGCTATTAGGATGCGGCGTCATCCAGTTAGTGCGGCGCCACGAAGCCAAGGTGGTGGTGCTTACCCCCACTATCACGTCGCTGTTGCTGATGCCGTACCACGCCGCCGAAACCGTGTACACCAACCAAACGCAGGCGCTCTTCACCACCCTCGCCCGCGAAATGCGGCCGTTGGGGATCCTGGTGACGCAAGTTCGCATCGGTAACCTCCATCTTAGCCAGCAAGTACAAGACCTGCGGCTTAAGATCTCGCAGTTGGTGAACCTGGAGCTCTCGGCGTGGACGCAGGAGATGAAGCAGTTGTATGGCCAGCAGTTTGTCAAGCTGCAGTACCGCCTGCTCCCGATCAAGGCCACCGGCGGTAAAGGCACGCGGTTGCGCGACTTGTACGCCAAGCTCTTCGACATCATTTACACTCCTGGCCGGGCCCCGGCGGTGGTGTACTGCGGCACCGGTGCCCGCGCCTACGACTACATCACGCGGTGGTTCCCGCAGGCGTGGATCGATATCTACCTCTAACCTGGTCGTATGCATTTTTCACTGTTTATAAATCGGAGTATCTAGGCAAAGTGGATCCCCACCTGGTGAAACGCGTAGAGCAACTTGAGGAAGTCGGTCTGATCCATCTTCGCCGCCCGCTGCTCGCCAAACCCGGTCTCGGTGAGCACCTGCTCCACCAACCGCTTGACCTCGGCCTCGGCGTCGTCGGTGACCATCTCCCCCAGCAACGCCCGCAACGTCTGGTAGTTTTTCGTCAAAATCTCTAACACGTTCAGCAGCTTGAACCCGGCGGCCACCGTCTTGTTTTTCCGGACAAAGCACACCCGCAACAACCCGTCCCACTCGTTGAAGTCGACGTTGGGGCGCGGGTTCTTCACTTCGATCCGCACCACCAGCGACTCCACCTTCGGCGGCGGGCGGAAGTTGTTCTTGCCCACCTTCATGATGTGGGTGACGTTGGCCCACATCTGGACGTTGGCCAGCAACCGGCAGTACAACAGGTCCCCCGGGCGCGCCAAGAGCCGCAAGGCAAACTCTCGCTGGAACATGAGGATCAGCACCCGGGGCGGCCGCGGCTGGTTGAGCAATTTGAACACTAACGGCGACAGAATCTGGTACGGGGTGTTGGAGATGCACACGTCGAAGTAGGGGAGCTCCGTCTTCATAAAGTCGCCCAAGAGAATCTCTAACTTCTTCTCCCCCAGGGTGCCGTGGACCCGCTTCGTCAACTCCGCCGCCATCCGCGGGTCCATTTCCACCGCCACCACCTTGCGGGCCTGTTCTAAAATCCGCACCGTCAAGTTACCCGTCCCCGGCCCCACTTCAAGCACCACATCCAGCGGCTTGATCTGGGCCTTATCGACGATCCCCTGGGCCACGAGCGGGTTTTTGAGAATGTGCTGGCCGAGATCGGTGTTGAACTTGAACACCAGGTTGATCTTGTCTGCCTGCACCTGCGGTGTCAGCTGCTGGTGGAGCTTGGGTTTGCTCGCTTTCGGCATGGCTCTGGTGCGGTAGCTGGTGATCTCATCGCATTATCGATGAGCCGCACTGCCATCGCCCCACGACGAAATCTGAGCCGCACGCGCACCACCTACTATAACATACGCTTATGTCTCTTCTAAAATACCGACCCCAGGTACCGGGTCTGTATATGGACTTTGGCATTCTCCCCTTTCTTCAAGGTCGCATCGATCATTACCTCAAGCCGGAGGCGAATACCCATGCCAGCGCCAGTGCCCATGCTCGCCAGGTCCTCAGTGTGCTTGGCCTGGGGCTCTCGGTGTTTGACCGTCAGCTCCACGGTACCCCTCGGCTACCTTTGGTTGCCTACTTATTGACGTTGCTGTTGACGAAGGTACCCCGCTACCAACACTTGAAGGAGACTGGGGTCGATTCGTTGATGATGGTTACTCCCACAGCCGTGCCCCATTACCAACAATTAGCAGAGCTCATGCTTGAAGGGCTCCCCCACGACGCTGCTCCCGGTCAGCTTCGTCGCCAGAAAGATGGTTCTTACGCCGTGGAACGGGTGCCCATGCTGGTTCGCTTCGTCGATGCCCACGGTCGCCATCAAGTTTTCGGTACGAGCAGTCAGACTTCGCAGCTTGTGATATCATCTGATCCCACCTACCAACCCCAAGAAGTTTCATCGCTCCGGTTTATCGGCATCGATGACTTTGACATCGTGACTAAGTCGCCTCAATATGTCACCCGATCGGGATCTAAGGGTAAGTACTCCAACGTGGTGACCACTACCGTGCGCCAGTTACAACACCAACATCTTGCTGACTTCACCCGCCAGACTGCCAGTCTCGGGGAAGGCCAACGCCAGGTGCTTTACAAGCCCCTCCAGTTTGGCATATTCGGACGGCCAAGCCCACCTTACGCATTCACTAACGGCGACCACCAATTGTCGGTGGCGGAGCGGATGATCAGACTACCTGAATCCGTTCGGAAACGCCAACTTCCGTTGATTCAAGTGGGAGAGTTTGTAGCACCAAAGTGCCGCCTTACCACCAACGTTACTGACCTTGAATACATTGCCGTCGAACCATCCACTGCCGCTAAGGCCAAGCAAAGTCTAGCTTACGTCGCTGCTAATACTACTAAGCCCCAGTGGGGGAAGGTGAAGAAAGCAGTGAAAAAACTCACCGCCCACGGTATTACTCCTGACGTTGTGGTGGCCGACAATTACGTCCTGAGCACTCCTCCATCGATAACAGCAGTGTCGGTATCTGAGTATCTCGCTGCCGACCTGCTGGACAAACCTGTAGTAGTGGTGGATGAAGCGCTGCTTTATACTGCCATTGGAACGTCTCCCACTATGATTCCAGGGATCGTCGATCCCGTGGGTGACTTGTGGTTGGCCTACGCATCGAAATCTTCTCGAGTACATGTGGTGGCGACGCTGGAAGTGTATACACAAGTGGTGGCTCTGCTTGCTTCACAGTACCACGCCAGTGGGCTCAGCTGGCAATGACGACTTACGACATTTATAGACATTAAGCATTACGATACGATCATTTGGAGAAGTTTGTAACGTTTGGAGAGAAAGAAGGGCTTGCTTCAGAACAAATGACTATAGCGTCGAAAAACATCTCGAGAGACGTTTTTTTGAATTTAGGTTCACCCTAATTGGTACTCTGTCATCACTTATGGGATGTCGATAGAATTTTTCCATACTTTCGAGGCGCTTGACGATTTCAAAAACATATTTTTCAGGTAGTGTAGTGACCCCTTCGTTCCATCACGTGATGTGACTGCGGCAAATCGTCATCTCGGTCTTACCACTGCAGCATCATCGCACTGCACGTTGTGTGTTGCCTGCTTATCTCCATGAACTGGAGGAAAACCTCTCACATACAGATATATATATATCTTGTTCATACCTTTGTTCTTGAGTTGGCTTCTTCAAGCATAGGCTCCAGAAGCAACTTGCGATGGTTTTAGCAAAGCAGAAGTGCAGCACCTCGACAAAGTTGGGTGTTCGTATGCAGGAGCATGGCGGGTGGTGCTAAATACATAACTTTCAGATCGAGCATAAGAACCTTAAGTAACTAGCTCAAATCTTATAGCACCACTGTAGTTTATATGGACATCTATTTGGTTTGACGAGTCTCCAAATAGTTAGCACAATTGCTGACACATTTACCACGCTTGCTAAATTCCGTTCCTGTACATAGTAGTTCCGACTGCATGTCGTATGTGAACTTCTGACCGGATGTATTCAACGCTTATACATCATTCTACGAGAAAACAAACAACACTACGGTAAAATTCATCATTCAAATAGTATTTGGGACGGCAATGGAATTTTTCTGAATTTTTTTATGAAAAACTGAAAAGTGTGCTATAAAATCAAGGAAAATCGCTAAAACCAAAACGACAGCTCCATAATATTCTTTGGCACTGAAAGTATAGTCGAGGTAACTCTGGGTGAGTTGACGTCAAAACTGGTGGATTTAAGTGAGGTTTTGTGTGAATTTAGGCACAAAAAAAAAAAAACTTTTTTTTTCTTTTTGCAAAATTTTTTTGGACGACTTTGAGTTTGAAACGTAGTCTATTACATTGGGTGAGCACTAAAAACGACTTGTGATATTCGTAGAGGTGGTAAAATAGGTGTAAACCTCGTCTATGTTCAATGTTTATGTGCAGGTGCATGAAGAAATATGCAAGACAAAACAAGGTGAGAGCCAACACCCCCTACAGAGATACCAGCTCATTTTTGTGAGCACCACTGTAGTCTTTGAGCAGGTGTATTACTTTTGATGCGTCAAAGTCGGTGCTAACACCAAAGCTGTCACAGATATCATGTTTTCAAAGATTGAGGTTTTGCACACAAGCATTGCATGTGCATATGGACGACAAATTTGCAATATGATTTTTCATGACATATATGACACTCTAAAAAGAATTGAATTACACCACCATAATGTATACAGTGCAAATAAAACTTACAACAGCAAATGGGATTTTTCTGAATTTTCATCCGAAAACCTACAAAAATTCATATAAAATTAGGAAAAATTGCTACAGACTTCCCGTTTGCTCTATAAAATTCTTTGGTGCCAGAAGTACGGTAGATAAATAGCTGGGTGGGTTACCGTTCGATTTGAAGTAGTTTCAAGTATGTCCAGGCATGAAATCAACGGGGAGCGATAAAACTTGTCTGTATGCTCCGTAAGTATTGTTGATATCTGAAATACAGCTGGTGTGTTGTTGGGTAAGTTCACGAGAAATTTGACGTAGTTAAAGCTGTGGCACTTCAATAGCATTATCTGCAGGACAATTACATGTATGCAGTGCACATGTTAAAATGGCGTTACAAGTTGCAAATCGCAAGCGAATCAAGGATGATACTACCGTCCTATCTGAAATACGCTATACTACTACCCGCAGAAGACTCATGGAGTTAGATGGGTAGCTGAAACATTTGACGGGCTTTTACGTGCGTTTTCAAGCGGATCCTGCATTTGGAGGAGGACTTTTCAAGGCAAGCATTAAACATTGATTTGATAAGTTGAGTGAGTTCTGAATCTAAATATATGTTTCTCGCGGTTTAAAAATATGTGTAATAGGGATCAGATCTTGTTTTCGCAAAGAAAAAAATCTTCAAAAAAAAAAATTGAAAAGAAAATTTGTGGTAAGAGATGCGAACTCGGTCTATCGCGTAAGCCGCATGAACGGCACCCCGCTCATTGGCGGACTAGCGAAGCCCGGACGGCGTTGTAGGAGCGGGTGGTGTCGACTTATGCATATAAGTGGGTTGAATCCGCCACATCTAGACTTCATCTGGTTTTATACCTAGTCTTACTGTGGCTGTATTCGGGACACCTTTCTTAGATAGGGTTACGTAATCATCACTATACACGACTATCGACTACCTTCTTCCCTCAAAATTTGGAATAATTTTTTAGACGAGTAGCGAGTGCATACGCAGGAGTTGACGAGCGGTGAGTGCCTTATACGCAGGAGCGCATGTTCTCCCAAATCAAAGTCGACTAAGTAGGCGGCGCTGTGTTAAGGCAGTGTTGTCGCGGTGAGGCCAGCATCACTAAATATATATATACCAAATGAGTCTTCTCCGGCTCCAACTATTTTGTACTTTTATGCGATGACCCAGGACCCCGTTGCTGTATATAGCGGCGCCATGCGTCAATAAACACCTTTTTATCGAAAATCATAGAAATTTATCAGGTTTTTAGCTTAGGTGAATAGCACTAGTGCCAGTTGAGACTGCATATAGAATTAAACGGTACTGCATATAGTGCAAAATTCACAAATTCATGTCTCAATCTCAAAGTGAATATTGGATTCTAGGTTTACACACGATCTTTTTGGCATATTGAGGATGACACGACTTTTTTAAATTAAAATAGGCAGTTTTAATATCGTACAAGGCCCAGAAGTGCTTCAACGCAGCTCTAGACGTGGATTCATACAAAGAGATCACGCTCCAGGGGTTGCCTTGTTACCAACCCTCTTTTTTAATGTTTTGGAGGATATTCTGTAGTCGCGGTTTGATCTCATATGCACCTCTTTCACAAGCTAAAATGGATCAAAAAAAACCGATTTCGCCACAAAAGCTTGACACCATCGTTCATTAGTTGCAATTCTGCTACAATGCTGAAATTTTTAGAATTGACTATTTTCAAAATTGCATTACTCCAGATTTGAGATTGTGCGCTCACTGCCAATAGTGCGCTCACGTGTTGAATCATACACAACCCATATAAAGCCAAATCCTGCTTATACCGGATAACCAAGACGAAATCCAATTGATCCCTGAGAGAAGGCTGTTGGTTGTTTACTGGTTTACTGATAATGGGACTTACAGTAGTGCTTATTGGCATCGACGGAGCGCTAGCCAAATCAGTCTACAACGCGCTTACTGCCAGCACTTCCAAGCTGAATGTGGGGAAAATCAAAGTCATTACTGGCAGCCAGCCTACACAACCACTCCCCCAAGTTGAATACATCATTGGTGATGCTTCTAATCAGGAGGAAGCCCTCACATTAGCGCAAAGGGTACCGAGTGGAGTGGCACATCATATGCAGGAGTGGCACCGCAAGTTGTATGCAAAATAATCTATAGGCGTGTGTGCTAATATTCACTGTAGAGAATTGGCACTGAGAAGGTTCTCTGAATGATTCGAAAGATGATTTAATTGGTTCTCTGACTTAGGGTCAGAGGATTTGGGAGTCATGCTGAGGTATAGCACAGTTAACAGGGGTTGGTAAGCTAGCGCTCAAGGGGAAACAAGTGTGGTAATGAAAGGTATAAAAAAGGTGAAGATCTATATGTGAAAAGCATTCCATCCGCTTCCAGGAAATGAGCAGAGGGCACGACATACAGTCCAATTAACGCAACTCCGGTACTGCAGTCATTAGACTGACATGGTGATATGGCTGCGACAGATCACGTGGCGGAATAATAGTGCCACAACAATTCCAAATAAAATATATAAACCGTACCAGCCTCATCTACGATACCGTCTGAGTAATTCACTCCCCAGTTGAGTTCGTGCAAGTTTTGCCTTTTCATTCCAGTATAATTGAAAAGCGTGAGCTTGACGCCAACGGTGGGGTCAATGTCATCGAGATGGTTAGAAAACTTTATTCAAGTCCAGTTGAGTGGCTGCTCAAACATATCAAAATCCGGAGAGAAGTGGAATCTAGTTGTTTTCGTCACTTCACGGACTAGTCAAAGCTTATCTTATGTGACAAGCAACAAAGGCATTGCTCTTGGTGCCTCATTCCAAACTGAGACAATTTCGACAATACAAAGGCCAGTGGTTTAAAATAAAGAAACCTGCTTCAAGCTCGAGTACAATACGGTATGGATCTAAATTATAATCGTCCATGTAGACGACGACGTGCTACTGTCGAAATTTGTTTGTACTTTCAATTGGAAATGGTGACCTCTACGCTCTTAAACTTTTATTATCACTAAATTCACGTCCTATTTATATTCTCAATTAATTATCAATCCCTTTATATAATCACTGAAGTCTTAAGCGAAAGTAATTTGCGTCGACAGGAGCCAACGGCAACTTGGTGATTGCAAGCGGTGATTCGCCTTGAGCCAAAGCTGCGTCGCCCACCGTGCGAGCCATGATGGCGCGAGCGACTTTAACCACCCGCGAGTCAAGGTCCCCTTGCAAAAATGGAAGGTTGTCTAACAACGGCTTCACCACCAGTTCATCTTTGTGTAACATAAGCTTGGCGTAATTGACATAAATATCACCGCCTTGGGTCCATTTTTGAATAATGAACCCGTTTTGAAGAATTTGTGCCGTTAACTTAATGAGCTCTTCACCGCGTGTGGCAGTTGTGACGACTTCGGGTCCCAAATGATTGAGGATGACGTCATTGGCGTCGTTCCAAAGCTGAGCATCAATGTAGTACTGACACTGTTGCCAGTAGTCGCCGTTGTCTCCCAGCTGGCGCCCTCGAGCTTCCAGAACAAGCGCCTGTGGCACATTCAATTGAGTGATGATAGTCGCAACATCTTCATCGCTCATATCTTTGATATGATCAAGAATGATTGAGCGAGTCTCAGTGGTTGCGTCGGCGTCTTTGGTAATGGTCAGGATAACAAATACTGCCGCAACGTAGAGACGTTGGAGATTGAGGTAGTGGGCAAACTTCTTTGCAATGCCATCGCCACTCAGGTTGGTGAAGTCGCCGCTATAATTGCGGCACACCTGGAAAACCGTCCACTTGAATTTGATATCCAAACCTGATTCAGCAATGTATGTAAGTGCTGCTGACGGATCCAGTGCCAGTAAATGGTATGCCTTCATGAGCACGCTGAGCGAATTCTTCGTTTCCACCTCGCCAAGCACCACCGAAAGCGGTTGGCTGTTATCACCATAACGGAGTCGAGTGGCGAGCTGAAGCAGCCATGGCATCGTTTCAGTTGGGGCAAAGTCTTGAGCGATGATTTGCCACATGTGGACAACTGGCTCAGGAATATTAGCCTGACCCCGTGTAGCCCAATCATCCAATTGGTTTCGAGCAAAAGTGCGAGCGGCTTCATCGTGGGCATCAGCAAGCACAAGCACCGCCCGCAAGTGGGGCGAGCTTGTGGGAATAGCGGCAATAGCTCCCTCCAAATCACCGGCACAAAGACGCCACAATGCCACTGCCAAGGAATCGGAGGTGGTTTTGGCAAAATCGTCAACGTATTTGCGATTGTATTCTTTGAGCCACAGCACAACTCTTTGTTGGCGCCCGAGTTCTGCCAATCTCAGTTCCACCGAGGGGTCATTCAGCACTGAGGCAATGGGAACTGGGTCAAAAAGTGCCAGTGCAAGTTGGTATAAAACCGAGTCTCGAAGTACACAGCGCCGAGAGAGAGCGGCAAATGAGAGTTCGGCGGAGTAACCAGTGACCACGGGAAAATTCAGTTGTGAGCGTGGCTCAATGCGGGCGTGACAGCGCACTTCATCGACTAAATCGTTAGCATCGTCGCCATTCACCAATGGAAGCGGCGCTTTAACCGTGTCTCGCAAAGCCGCCGGTTCCAGTGAAGTTTTTTCGAGCAGCGGCCGCAGTATATCAGCAGGGAAGAGCTGGCGCTCAATGTCGGCGGGTCGGTCAATCGGCGCCGCCATGACTTCCAGTGGCGTCGGTACCACCAGTGAGTTGTAGTCATCGGCAAGCTCAAGCTGAACAAGCCACAGCTTTGTCGTCGGCAAATCGGGCCATTGGAGCATGCGGTCAAGTTGGCTCGCGTCGTCGATCGTGGGTTCGTACGCCTTTTCATCCACGACCGCCGCCATATCCGCGTAGGGAGTCGATAAGAGAAGTTGGCGTAAGTAGTGGGTCTTATCAACCGGTTCCAGCACCAGCATCGCCTCGTCGTCAATACGCTCTACTTCCCCCATCACCTCGTCCTCAGACTCCACTTCCAGATCCATCAGAGTATCAGCCTCCCGCACGAGCGCCAGCATCCCCGGCTTCGCCCGTATAACGTTTAGCTTCACCTGCTCGGCTACCTGGCGCTGTTTTACCAGAAGCGGCAGACTGGGGTCGCTGCCGTCAGCACCAGCATCCCAGTGACCAGGCACGCCGGCGCCGCGAATGCCCACTTTGGCTTTGCGAACAGCGTCACGGTACTGGTCCTGCTCATACACCCGGCTGTACTCAAGACGCAGCTGATCCTCTTCGGCGTCTTGCTGCTGTTTAAGTTGCCGAAGACTAGCATCAGCGCTGTCGTCCAAAAGCCCCCACACGCTGAAATGGAGCACTCTGAACGTCCAGATAGCAGTATGCGGATCGTAAGTGAGAAACTCCATCCCGGTCTGTTTCTTCAAGAAAGCGATGAAGTCGTGCACCAGCTGATCGGGTTTTGGCCGCACGTTTTCCACACTAATTACCGCAGGGACGTTGAGTTCGTGGCTCATAGGTGGCTTTGGGTACCCGGGTGTGTTATAAACTTCAACGACAGTGCCGTGAAGTCTAACCACGTTGTCAATAAGTTCATTAGCGAGTTTTTCCTCAACGCGACCTTCTGTTTGTCTTTGGCAACGAGCGACAAGTTGCAGCAAGTCCACGGGACGTGCCCAGGCGATTTTCAGGTGACCCTTGCGCCCGATGACAAGGTCTTCAACTTGATGCGGATGAGAAACGATTTCACTGAGCAGGGGGTAAATGTAGTAGTCCAATGGAAGCAGGGGTGGCGCCAATGAGTCTTCCTCGGTAGTGTAGCTTTCCTTGTCGGGAGTGTCATCCGGCACCGCCGGTACCAGGTTCCCGGCAAATACCACCAGCGACTTCGCCCGCGACCGGACCAGGCCTTCGATCTTAGCATCGACGTTGTCTTCGTCGTCGATTTCCTCATCTTCGTCTACCACAAGCCGGGCGTTCGCAAGCGCCCCAGGCGCCGTGTCCACAAGCTTAGGGCGTCGATTCAAAAGCACGCGGTTGGCATTAATCAAATGGTATTTGATGGGCTTCAGCTTAATGATGAGCCGTTTGAGTGAGCCTTGACCTCCCCTGAGTCTCAGTTGGAATTTACGAGTGTGGGTCAAGCCTTTAGTCCCCAACAGCGTCTTTGACGTGCCAAGAGAGGTTGTATTGGTGGGTAGCGCCAGTGTCTCTTTCGGCGTAGGGGTAGAAAATAGGCCTCGAAGCGGATTGGCAAGTGACGCCAGTTGTCTGAATGTGCGAAGTGTCTTTCCAAGCCTTTTCAATAACAGGTTGGACGGCGTCGCCACCGTCTGTTCCAGAGCCAGTTTGTCGAGATAAGAAAACTTGCGTTTCTTCGGGGTATCTTTGAACAGCCCCACGTGCAAGTCTTGAGTAAGCAGCTTGGGCATTTGCAGCCCGTTGACAGTGAGCAGGCTGAGAAGCGATGGAGCACCATAAGGATTGGTTGCGCTGGAGGCGGCGCCCGTCGCGTTTGTGGCAGTATTGCCAAAGAGACCTCCAGTGGCAGGCTGAGCAGAATTACCGAAGAGACCTCCAGTAGCTGGTTTAGAACTGTTGCCAAAAAGCCCCCCGCCACTTGTAGTGTTATTAGTGGTAGTATTGCCAAATAATCCTCCGGATGCAGTATTGCTGGTAGTTGAATTTCCGAATAACCCACCCGCTGGTTTGACCGCCGTTGACGTGTTATTACCAAAGAGACCTCCCGTGGTGGTGGTGTTGGCCCCAGTATTGCCAAAGAGACCACCAGGTTTGGCTGCAGATGTGGTGGAGTTGCCAAAAAGGCCTCCGGATGCGGCGGTATTGTTGGCACCGGAGTTGCCAAATAAACCGCCTCCAGTGGTTGGAGCTGCTGTTGACGTGGCGGTATTACCAAAAAGCCCTCCTGGCTTCGCGGTGGAAGCCCCAGAATTGCCAAATAACCCACCACTGGCGGTGTTGGAGGCATTGGTCGCGGTGTTGCCAAAGAGGCCGCCGCTTGTACCAGAATTGGCGGCATTGTTCGAAGCCGAATTGCCGAACAACCCTCCTCCCGTAGTAGTCGAAGGATTAGACGTGGTGGAATTGCCAAAGAGGCCGCCCGAGGACGCGGGACCCGATCCGAGCGAGATCGCCGGCCGCTTGGCGTTGGCGCCTGCCGCCGGTGCCAGCGTGCCAAACGACGAAGCTGGTGCCTGCAGCGACGTATTTGCGGCGCCAAAGCCTGTAGCCAGGCCCCACAGACCGGTGTTTCCAAACCCTCCGCTTGACATTAGCTGGGGAGGCTCTGGTTGTGTTGGTGAGAAAACCGCGATGGCGTGCGGCTTGACGACGGTAACCACACATAAAACAAAACAAAGGTGGAAAAACAAAATGACGCTCCCCCAAACTAACAAAAAGTGTTGAGTGGAGTTGAGGAATACTTTCCAGTTACATGGTACTATGTCGACAATGCCGAAATCCATTTCAACAAATATTTTAAGTGGAATTCGGGGTATCCTGGTTTGATCTATTTGCTATCATAAGCCAGGTAATGCAATTTCGATAACACCAGTGTAATCACAAACTTGAGTCACTAATTATCATCACTACCAGCAGCGAGAAGTGGGTGTACAGATTTCACACTATTTATTCTTGAGTATCGAGGTTTCTACAAGATATACGGTGATGGATCAAAGCATGGCTACCATGATTGCAAATGTATGCGTTTTCATCTGATTGCCGCAGCAGAAAGACATTATGCGGTTCACTTGGCTTGTGGTCATTTCAACACGCAAATCCTTAATGGGTCGACTCGGATTGAATTCTGATTGAGCCGGCATTGAGACGTTGTACGGTCTAGTGTTTGTCGTGAGAGTTTGCTGGTCAATATCTCAATCCTACTTACAATATATGCTATTCCTTTGTAGAGTTAATAAAATCACGCCAGTGAATCGCCCGATGTAAGCCCCACTAATCCCCTTCTTCTTAGTAACCATTCAATCCAATTTATAGCACCAACATAGAGTGCACACGATTTCTAACGATAGCATTTATAGATTCGTGCTTAGCAAAACTGACAATGAAAATTAAGACGTAGTGGAAGTATTGAATATGTCTCTGTACACTGAGCCTTCTATTTCCTGAACAATTGTGACCCTCCATCGGTGCATTCCAAATAAGCTAATAAATGCCGACCACATTTATACGTGTATCTGTGTCAAATATGTGGTACAATTCAGATTAATTATCCCGACCTTTGTGGTGTCATAAAGTCAACTAAAGAGGCCAATATTATAGGCATTCATTCCATCGTTGTGATCATGACATCCTTGGGGCTTCGCATACGTTAAAGCTTATGTCTTTGCAATCGCTCTGTGAACGATCAGATCCAAAGGTATCCATATTTTATGATGTGCAAAAAGTTGTGTGCGCCTTTAACTATTCAGCTAACTAGGAAACAATCAAGTCATTCGAATTCTGTCGAGGCTTGATAGTAACAAGCATTGTAAGGGTGGGTCTTTGTCGACTCGTATTATGCCCATACTGCATACACGCGAAGGTGTTTGCGAGAGCTGTGCCAGCGCGGGGTCTGATCTTTCTGATAAGTAGCCATTCATGCGATGCTTCCCTTTACACAAAGGCAATCGGGCAAAAATCTGCAAAGTCGCCACGTTCGGTCATCTTCCACTCGATCCATTGCACTGTAGGCTTCCATTTACCGACGTTAAGGTGTTTGGCAGTCTTGTAATCTACCCCTCTATATAGATCCCGTTTGGTGGAATCTCATCACAACCTCAGTCTACAACCATCGGGTGCCTGTTTCTCGTAATCATCATCATTCAATTAGGGGGGTTGTCATCCCCGTTGACATCTTCATTTCCGTGTCGTTGGTAAATCCGCCGCCGCCGCAAACCCCGTCTCCGACTCGGACATCGATGGTCTCACTTTTTCCTCATCCGCCCTCATTTTGGTGAGCCCTCATCCAACGATGCTAGAGGACTACTTTTCGATCCAGATCTTCTTCATCATCTTCCGCGAGGTGTTGGAGACCGCCATCATCATCTCGGTGCTCCTCTCGTTCATCGACCAGCGTCCCAAACGCGCCGACGGCAAAGATGACTCGCGGCGCCTTAAGATCCAGGTGTGGGCGGGAGCGGTGCTTGGTCTCGCCATGTGCCTTGTCATTGGCCTCGTCTTCATCGTGATGTTCCTCTACTTCGAGCTGGACTACTGGAGCTACGCCGAACGCTTGTGGGAAGGCGGCTTCTCGATCCTTGCCCTGGTGGTGATCACGGTGATGGGGCTCGGGCTTTTGCGCATCAACAAGGTGATGAAAGTGAAGTGGTGGGTCAAGCTTGGCGACGCCTACAACCACGAACAGCCTCGGGTCCGTCGCAGTGTCGATAGTGACGACTCCAACGCCGAGCTTCTCGCCGCCACCACCGACGATGCCGTGGATGCGGTGGCCCGGCCCCTGGGGAAAAAGTCGCTTTACCAACGGTACTTTTTGGCGTTTCTCCCCTTCATCACCACGTTGAGAGAAGGGCTCGAGGCGGTGGTGTTCGTCGGGGGTATCGGGCTCTCGCTGCCGCCGCTGTCGATCCCGCTCTCGGTGTTATCGGGCGCGATCGTGGGGGCCATTGTCGGCTACGTGTTATACCGGGGAGGCAACAAGCTTTCCCTCCAATACTTTTTGATTTTACTGACGTGCTTTCTCTACGTGGTCCTGGCGGGACTCATGCTGCGCGGGGTGTGGTTCTTCGAGCTTGAGAGCTATGTCCGCAAATGCAACGGGTTCGATCCCCTGGAAACGGGGTCGGGCCCCGGTCTGTACGACATTGCCAACCTGGTGTGGCACGTCAATTGCTGCAATGGTCTCACCGATGGCTGGTGGATGGTGGCCAACGCCATCGTGGGGTGGACTAACCTGGCCACCTACGGGCTGGTATCGCTGTACCTTGTCTACTGGGGGCTTGTCATTGGGTGGCTCAAGGCTCGGTTGTTTGAAGAGCGCCACGGCTACTTGCCGTTAGTGCCCCTTAAATGGCAGCAAAAGCGCATTCGCAAGAAGATCAAACTTTACGAGGCAGTGCTTCAGCAAGAGCCCCAGCCAGTGCCGGCGGAGGCTGAGCGAGAGGCTGATGCCGTCGCTCTTTTGGGTTAAGCGCGTGGCACCTGGGCTGATGTTTGTCAATAAGAACACTGCTCATCTTCACCACTATTTGTTTTGACAACTTGGCATGGAGTGTTGTGTTTTGCTGAAGATATGAGATATGCATTCGATATTATGTATATCGGGGTGGGATCGCTAGCACTGGTCGGGGGACTAGCGAGCCTCCTCGTCGGAAGTTGACGGCGACACAGGCGACCGCAAAGGCTAATGCTCGAGAATATAATGTGATCATGGTTTAGCGAAAGCCCTCAGGGGAGACACCCCCTTTATAGTGGTTTCCCCACTCCCCTCCCCCTGGAGGTTTGGATTCATTGACCCTGCTTATGAGTCGCGCATGACTCGTATCTTGGCCCGTGACCTAAGCGTGCGCGCTGAGATAACCGATTATGTAAATAGAAACTTAAATGAAATGAAATGAAACCACAAAAACCGCCGCCTCCCGCCCCCCTTCCAGTCCCCCATACCTCATAGATGTCTCCCTACCCCATTGCCTTCATCAACACCGCCACCGCTCCCCACGCTCGATTAGGGGCGTCGTTTGGCTACCACGAGGCAGAAGCCTGCGAGGTCGACTTCGTGCCCTCTCGCACCTTCAACAAAGAAGACCTTCAATTAAGCCTCGAAACCGGCGAGGTGTCAAAACTCCGGCGCCGGGGACTGAACCGGTCGTCATTCAGCTCATTGTCGTGAAGCGATGATTGCCTGGCCTAATATACTCATTCCCGCCAGCTCTCTTCGCCTTTGCGTGACCTCCATATCTTCCACAATAATAGCAATATCCCAAATACCACCGCGATTCGCGTGACTCTTAGTCAAACTGTAAGCAAGATCGATCGTTTTCACTCCGCCTAACCTGAAATTCGGGGTTGTTCAATTAGGAAATCTCCGCATTGACGTCAGTGAGAAAGGCCTGCACACACGTCGTTTCTCGTCCCACAGGAACCTTCTAAAACCGCGCTCGCCAGTTTAATAATAATCGTAACCATCTACCGTGATCAAATCATAACGATCAATTATCGCTAAAGAAAGAACCCTTTGTTCTCTTAGCGAGACAATACGATCATCGGTGCTGACGATTCTTCATTTTTTACGCGAAGTCTGTATTTTCGCACTATTCGCATCTCGTTATCTAACTCGATCTCTTCTGTCCTTGCCAAAGGTGCTCATGCCACCTAAACAACAAAAACAAGCTCACAACGAAATAAAGACGTCCGACCGCCGTAAAGGGGACGTCAAGTATCCGCCTGTTGGTGGAGAAGAGCGCGAGATCCGGTACTTAAAGAGCTTAAGGCATCTAGCAGACCAGGCCGACTCCGAGGGACACGCCAACAAATTTACCGAGTTTCTTCGTCAACGGCTGCCTACTGGGGTGCCGTTACCCAATCTGCTCGTTGCCAAGTTACAAAATGACGACTCTGCCCAGGCCAATCTTAAGAAAAACATCGATGAGGCTTGTAGACGGTTCGAGGACAGATTATACCACAGAGTGAAATCATTACCTGCCAAGGATGAAAGCAATTCGTGGTTCGATGCGATCTTTGACATCCTTCGTTGCATCTTTCGCAACGTAAACAACTTCAAGCACAAGTTTATTGCTAAGCTCTACTTCACCATCTGCGAATGTCGTAGAGCGTTTCCTCCAGAATTAGTGAAGATGTTCGAGTATTACACTTTCCTATTTGAACATATGGGGTGTAATGATGGAGATGAGGAGAAGGACGGAGGTTACATTGCACACAACCTCTCGGTGTTGATCACTTACGTTATTGATGAACACCACCCTAGCAAGGATCCTATGTTCAAACAGTTGAGTTTGCTCGCGTTCAAAATGGACTGTGAAGAATTCACTTCGTTTAGGAAGTTCACCCCTGGAGAGTGGGAAGATTTTAAGCAATTAACACCTCCGAACAAAACCCCCGTGGCGAACCAAAAACAAGTCCGGTCAAATTCGACGCAATCAGCCAAGACCGACGATGACTTACTCAATGATGACGACGAGTGGGCGAGTGACATCGACGCTGAACCCGAAGACACCGACTATATGGCCGAGCTAGCTCGTGAGCTTCACGATAAGTTGGTCGATGTTTGTGACTTTCTTGATCAGGAGGATCGGTTACACAATGATATATCTATCTACGATTATTTGTATGACGTCCTCAGCGGGATCAAGACGGTCCCGACTGATATTCTCATTAATCCCCGTCTGGGAATGGTGCGTGCAGCAGGAGAGATCCTCAAATTTGTCGAGTCCTCAACGGAATTGTATGCTTACGACGAAGCAGAAGATGACATTGAGAGGGTCGTCTTCGAATCAATTGACAAGGTGTATACGGAAGTGATACACCGCCGTATTGAGGAATTGAGTCCGTTGGCGCTATGGGGTACGAATGAAGCGTTTGCTTACGTGCTTCTGAGAAAGGTGTTACAGGACTTTGGTGAGGAGACACCTTATAATCGAAAGACACATTGGGGAGAAGTGCCGGTTCGAGGATCAGGAATCCTTGAGATTACTGACAGTAAGGGCGGTGAAGTTGAAATCGAAGCATACTACTCGCCTCATAACCGCAAATTTGTGGAAAAGATTCGGGAAGGTAAGGCATTGTGTATGCGGATCATGAGACTGAAACAGATGCCCGCAGTCGTGCCCCATTGGGAACTTGAGAATGCAGGTTACTCCTTACGAGGTAATCTCGGAAAAAACTCAAAGTACTGTGACAGCAACGGAGGTTCCATTCATATTTTCGTCTCAAGAAGGGGGCATCCTTGTATGCCTCTTAATGGGCTGCAGGATATGGATTGTTTGATCGAGACCTTATCCGAGCTCAAAGAGACCCCACTTGACGTTTATGTCGAAGAAAATGAGATTCCAGTTCTCCAAGAAGCCATGGGTTTGCATGACTGATTTCGAATGAAATGAGCAAGTTTAAACGTATAAGTTTGTATATAATGAACTCCAACGAAAACAATGAATCATGGTTGAATCTCCAATTTGAGTGAATTTCTCCTGACTCTTCAATTGAGCCAAACACTATCTGACGTGATAAATTGATTATCAAGATATGTATTATCTAATGGAATTTCTATGCTTCGGTTTCCTCGACATCAGACCACTCTACCTCGGTGATGGTGGCTTCGTTAAGTTGATCGCGATCTTGAGCAAAATATCTCGGCTCGTCAAACACATGGTAACGATGACCACGAACACCATCGCCATGGAAGATTTGCGGCATTCGCATGTGGGGCGGCACTTTATTCTCGGGGACAAAGTGGTTGCCGTAGTAGAAGTCTTCGTCAAGCTCTTGCGCTTCTTCAGCGGGCAACAACTTGAATTTAGCCACTTGCAACTCGGTGTCGGTAATGGTCGACCGCGAAATCCGGGCGTAGGCGACCTTTTGCACCCCGCGGAACATAATGTATTCACACCATCTGTCCCAATCGGTCAGGTCGATGTCATGCATTCTCAGTTCCTCGCCAGCGTAGGTGAAGTAGTTGCCATTGAGAGGTTCAGTGACAAGGTACAGCAACAAGATCATAGGGCGGTGTGACCCGCCCATCACCTTGGCCAAGTACCGCAGCTGAAGGCGGCGATCTTCCTCGTCTTCTTCCTGGCCCAGGTGGAACACTACGACGTCGACCTCGGTGCCGTAGATGTCTAAGGTAGCGTGGATGGCCGGAGCCAACTCACCCACGGGCAGCGGCAACAAGTGGTGTTCCAGTCGCAAGATAGGGAACTTGGACAAAAGCGCACACCCCCAAGTGTGCTTGTTGGGCCCGGGACCGTAGTCAACGTACATCCCCAAGTCCTCGGCAATTCTCTGGGTGAAATCGCGGTGGCCGCCGATGTTCCGTTGGGTGTCAGTCTCCAATAAACCGACGATATCGAGTTCGGCGTCACGAATAAGATCTCTCATCCGCACCTCACTCAGCCACATGTCGTTGTCGAGCCCGAAATGGACGCACCAAATGCCAGCGTTAAAGTTGTCGTCACGATGAGGCGAATACGGTGACAGAGGCGTACGGCGGATGAACACCGCCACCAGCGCCGCGAGCAACACCGTAAGCACCGTCATTGCTTGCTTGAACAACCGCGCCGTGCCCAAGTTGAGGCGAGCGATGTGGGAAGCACGGCTTCTCAAGCGGTAGTTCACCACCCCCAACACCACCGACACAAAGGCGGCGCCGTGAATGATGTGAGCACGCTCACGCAACAACCACCCACCGGGGACAAACGCATACGCCACCGTCCACACGTGCGCCACATTGAGGACAATAAACCACAAGTAACCAAGCACGTAGGTGACCACGGGGGAAAACCCTACCGCCAGCTGGGCGATCACCGTGGTGACACTGGCGAGGTAAAACACAAAGGCCAGCGCCCCAACGTAACCAGCCCAGCCGGGGATTGTAGCCATCGCCACCGCGGCAAGACCACCCACTACGATCAGGTATCCCAACTGACTGATTAAAGTCGGGCTCACCTTAATGGTAGCGACGATACCCAAAATGAACGCACCAAAGTGGATCAACGCCCCCGACACGGGAGTCGGGCCCCGGAGCGGGTACCCCGTCCACACCCATTGCACCAATGTCGCCAGATCGGTCATGTACTCACAGAGGCAGTAGAGCCACCCGCCGAGACCAATCAGAGCCAAGATGATGGAGCCACCCTTGCGCACCACGGTGTCCTGAGACAGCAGCACCACTGACGGGGTCAAGAACGCCCCCGTGAGCCCGACGAACAACCCCAAAGCATTAAGCCCGCCGTTGTCGTCATGCATCACCGGCCAGATGGGATTGTTGGAGTACCAGTAAAACTTAGCCACCAGCAGCGCGAGTAAACCCACCACCACCAGCACGAACCACGAGGTATACTTTTTCGGTTGCGTCAGTAAACCCAGTGCTTCCACCACTTGCGAAATCACGGCAAAGCCACATCCCGCAACCACGGTGAGGAACTTGTCCCGCGGGTCAGGCACCTTATACGCCCCCACCGCCGTAATCACGGTGGCAGCTCTTGTAAGCCATGGGGCGTAGCCAAGCACCCGCCGCACCGACTTGGGGATCACCAACAACGGCGCCACAAACAAAACCACAATACACGCCTCGTACCCGGAAATGCCCATGCTCCACAACGGGAAGTGCCAGAGGGTGAGGAACAACGACAGGATCGCCAGCCACTGGATGAAGTGGTTGATGCACAGAGCAATGAAGGTCACCGTCAGCGCTTCGTCGGGAACAACGTATGACTCCACGGGGGGAGCCACCGACTTCACCGAGTCCACTTTAACGGCAGCACCAGCGGCGGGGGCCACGGTGATACCGGCACTCAGAATAGTGACATCAACCCCTTTGAAGTCGATGACCAGCCACGCGTCAAACGCCACGTCCAAGATGATCAATGCCCACTCAAAGTAGGCGTAGATCGAGTACGCCCCGGGGACGACATGGACTTTATGCTGGATGAAGTAGTAAATCAACGGGCCAAGGGTGCCGAAGAAGGTGAGACACGTCCACAAGCGACCTTGGCGTTGACTCAGGCCTTTAGGCGACGCCAAAATGGTGCAGATCTCCCACGGAAGGGTGAGGACGATGTACAGAATCATAAACACGTCGTGAGCGTCGTGGTCGTCGGTACTCGTAATGTAGACCCACCCCCCGCATGTCCACGTGCGCAAAAAGCCACTGATGAACGACGTCAACGCCAATTTGGGGTGGAGAGGGGACTGAACGATATAGTTGAAAATGAGCAAAAGGAAGCGGGGCCCGGCGCAAAGGGCAATGAGAATCTGGAAAAGCAGCCGCTCCGGGTAGCGATCACCGATGGTGGCACTCACCAGCGGGAACCACTCGTCAGGATACCCAAATGAGGAGTTTTTCACGATCTTTTCGTAATGGAGGTACCAGCCGACAACAAGGGCAACCCCGAACGCGAGGTAAGCGCACACGGTGTGGGCGATGGCAAACCACTGGGCATTGACGGTTACCGTCTTTATAGGAGTACCCGAAGGCGTCGTAGCCATGATTTGTTGTCACGGGTCGTCCCTGGGTGGTTTGCTTGTGAGGGGAGCCTCGGTTTTGCTTTGACGCGCGTGCGGCGCGGCCCCGACTCAGCCTCAGGTCGCCGAGGGACGTTTCACGAGGCGGAGATCATAGAAAAATCTCGTAAACAAAGGTGGGCACGACAAAAATTGGTGTCGTCCTAGGTGAAAGCAATTTTAGAGTAGCTTTTGAATGCACCACTGGGACTGCATTCGGTCCCAATGGGGTTCATAACGGCACGTGTATTTGGGCGCGTTGTACTAGTTGATTTGAAGGTCGATTCCGAGCATGTGCGAAATATTATTTGAATCTGGAGAATTTCCAAGAAAAACCGAGTGATGGATTTGTTTACTTCCTCGAATTAAACATTTTAGACCAATTACGTTGTTGTATAGTTTGTTCGGCCTTGGAGGAATACCCCGTCGAAGATACTTACACACCGGTA